TTATGTTTCGTTTCAAGTTTTACCCTCATAATCAGTTGTACAGCTTTCCTATTTATCCTAAATATTAATTTATAACTACTTAGTTGCTTTAAACTTTTGTTGTTATATATTGTCTATTTTCTTTGAGGTCATACTTTGGGTTATTATCAGTGTAGTTCTGGCTTTCATTTGCATTTTGTTCTATTGCCATTGATGTATCCTAGGTATTAAATTCCGAGATCAGTATCGATCGTTTCATCCCAAGGGTTTCTGGTTTTAAAAAATTTTACTATATTTCTTAGTGGTGTATCTTTATATTGATTATTTATGAGGTGATCTTGTCCAAATAAAATTCTTCTTGTTGCTATATATTTGTCGCACGAAAAGAGTATATGCTTGGTGGTTTGTTTGTCTGTGTTATTACAGTCACAAGTGTTTATTTGTTTGATATCCATTTTTGCTAAGTGGTAATTTAGGGGAGCATGTCCAGTTAGGACATAAGTTAGTATTCTCACATCCTTTCTGGTCATTTTTAATAGCGTTCGTGCATTATTGGGCGAAATCTCCGGTATCATTTCTTTTGCTTGTCTACACGTACTCCTTCCATTGCAGCCTTAATTTGTTCAGGGTGAACTTTTTTTATCTCCATTTTAAAAGTGGTAAAGGAAATTGGGACCCAGGGTTCCTGTTCTGGTTTTACTTTTTTCATCGCTTCTTTGGCAATTCGGTCAGCTTTCTCGCTTCCTGGGATCCCGACATGTCCCGGACTCCAGCAAATCGTTAGGTATCTATTTTTTGTTGCTAACTTATTCAGCAATTCGTTGCATTTAAGTGTAAGGGTTGATGTTATCATCGGTTTGCTTAGTGCTTTAATTGCCGCTTGACTGTCTGTAAATATTACAATCTTTACTTCTTTTATATCCTTGTGGATCATATACTCTGTGCATCTTATTAGTGCCATTATTTCCGCCTGGTAAACCGTGGTGGTGTTGCCTAAGTATTCATTTGATCCTCTTAATGGGAGGCCTGTAAGCCAGGCGCATCCTGTATTACCCTCCTCATCCTTACTTCCGTCTGTGTACCATGTGATCCATTTACTATACGGAGTACAGGTTTTACTTTTCCATTCAGATCTAGAAGGAATATGTGTTTTACATTTATTGGAAAGATGATATGTCGGCGTTATCCTGTCCGATGGAGCCTCCATTAACATTAATAGATGGGGTTCATTATTAGGGACAGTCTCTTTAATAAGGTTAATAGTGGAGTGACCTTGGTCTATTGGCGACCATCTCCCCCCATCGTGCAGGAGTTTTGCTGTCCTAATGGCCGCTTCCTCTATCCTATACGCAATGGGCAGGGTGGCTAGTATAGCTTCCAGCGCTTTTGTCGGCGAGTATCTGAAGGCACTCAGTACTCTTTTTAGTGCTGTGTGCTGGAGACTTTCTAGTTTGCTTTTTATTTTATCGGGTTTTGTTCCTTGCCACCAGATTAGTGCTCCGAACGTGATTCTGGGCATAATGATTGCATTGTAAATCCAGTTACCATGTTCCTCCTACCATCCTATCTAACGTGACCAGATTGTGTCTAGCTCGTGATATTACTTTTAACGTTTGGGTTCTCCATGACAGATCCTTTGTAAACGTTACCCCCAAGTATCTGACATTATTCGTTGCCTTAATTGGACCCCTTTTAGTGCAATTCCTCTGACGTTCAGGTGTCTCTTTTTTCGCGTAACTATTAGATCAGCTTTTTCTGGGTTGATCGAGAGACTCGTTTCTTCGCACCAGCCTTCAACTATCCTTAATGCCTCATTCATCTGATTCCTTGCTCTGACTGCAATCTCATGAGTGACTACAATCGCAATACCGTCAGCATAGCCCTATGTTTCAATTCCCATATTATTTAATTTATTTAGCAGCGAGTCGACCGTCAGGCACCATAGCATTGGGGAGAGGATACCTCCTTGGGGACAGCCCTTATTAGCCAGTCCTCTGGCTGATGCCTCTCCGTGTTCCGTAGCAATACTTCTATTTGTTAGCATATTATTTATCCATTGTACTACATTGGAGTTGGTGTTGTGTTCCAGTAAGCCTTTAATGACTACATTTTTTGGTGTCTGGTTGAAGGCACCTTCAATGTCCATAAAACATGCTAGAGCATATTTTCTGTTATAGAGCTCTAATTCAAATTGTTTAGTGATGCCATGTAGTGCTGCCTCCACCGAGTGCCCTACTCTAAATGCAAATTGTCTAGGGGAGAGTGGAATAGCTTCTAATACAGTGCCCTTTAAATATCTGTCTACTAATTTTTCAAGTGTTTTTAGGAGGAATGACGTAAGGCTAATTGGCCTGAATGATCTTGGCGAGGTGTAATCCGATCTGCCTGGTTTCGGGATAAAAACCACTTTGGTCTCTGTCCATTGTTTCGGGATATAACCAGTTGCTAGGCTTGCTCGCATTAGTTTTGTTAGATATGGGGATGTTAATGTAGCACCTTCTATGAGGAAGACTGGTTTAATTCCATCTGGCCCTGGGGCCTTGTGCGGTAAGAAGGCCTAGGTGGTATTGGTTTCGTTTACTATTTGCGCGGCTATGTTCCAATTAGGTCTTAAACTATTTTGTTGCAGGCTTCGTTCTCTGTCTAGAGTCTGTGAGTCAAACTCAATTTGTTCATTTATCGCCCCTGGGAAATGTTCCCTGATTAAGGTTTCTAAGGATTCTTGTATACTATTTGCAATATTATCATCCGGTTTCCTTAATAATCCCAAGCTGGTACTATCTACTCTTTCCAGGATCCTATTGATTCTGGCAATGTCCTGGGTACCTTTCAGGTTGTTACAAAAGTTACGCCACGACTTTCTCTTAGCCAGTCTAATTTCCTTCGCTAATTTAATCTCCATTCTCCTACTTTTTCTCTTATCAGCATTCCTCCCTGTCCTACGTGCCCTTTTCCTAAGCTTTTTACAATTTTGCTCTAACATTTCCAGCCTATTGTTCCACCAGAAAAGNTGCTTTTTCCGCTGCATTGATAATCGAACACGTTAATTGTTCGTTGAATCTGTCTATTTGCTCAGGGGAATCGTATTCCTTCGGCATGTTAGTTAGGTTTGTCTCTAATATTTCAGCATATTTAATATAATCTAGCTTCCTTGCGTTAAAATCGATTTTGAATGCTGGGATATCCTGAAGTGATATCTGATAATAAATATAGTTGTGATTTGAAAGGGAGGGTTCTCCCAGTACCTTCCAGTTTTTAACTAGGGATTGGGGCCCA